AAAATATTTCACAACTCTGGGACAATCTCAACCAATACAGTTTATATACAGAAATACAGTACCAAAATAAACGTACCGCTTCAAATCTCGCGCCTTCAATCCATTGGCATCCAATTGTCACGCTGTACATCTAAATAGCTAACTCTGGAGGATGGTTTAAAATATTGAAAACATAATAGTAAAAGTGAGCAGAATGCTCAATAGGATATAATTTTATAAAACATTGTAAACAAAAGTACTCACGGTCCGAAGACATACACCCAGAACCGATCATACAATTTTATAAAGCATTGCAAATAAAGATGCTCACGGTCCGAAGACATACACCCGGAACCGATCATACAATTTTATAAAACATTGTAAATAAATGTACTCACGGTCCGAAGACATACACCCGTAACCGATCATCCTTTTTAGATAAAGAAAATACTCACGTAGTAGTAGAAAAATATCTGTATAATGAAAATATGTAGAGCCATAACACCAGTGAGCAAGACGTGGATCCGTACGGGTTTCGGGTCATGCCCCCAAGGATACGATTCTTATATCCCGATCTCTGAGGCTACCATGCGTTATATTATTTCTTAAAATATTTCATTTTAAGAAATGATACTCTTTAAAATCTCATCAGTGGGAGGGGGCCGACGTAGAGAGAGAGAGAGAGAGAGAGAGAGAGAGTAGGAGAGAAAAAGGAGAAAAAAGAAAGAAAAATGGAAAAAAAGGAAAATGGGCTTGGGCTTTCTGTACAAATTTGATAATTAGACTTCAAAGTCCAATTTGAATAGAGTATAGAATGACCAATTATTCTTATTTCAAAAAATTGGCTACCGACACTTAAAACTGTTCGAGAGACAGCAGTGTCAATTTCAAAAGAATCATTTTTAAAGGAAAAGAATCCTTTACATGATAATTATTACTGAAAAATTTTTACTAATCTCAAATTAATTAACACTAATTACTGAATTTGATTAATTAATCATAATTAATTTAACCGGATGTTACCAGAAACAACACACATTGGTAACAAAAAAAAGGCCTAAAACAATCTAAAGTAACAAGGCGCCTATTAACACGCAACGGAAAACAATTTTTGCTTAGGAAAAAAAAAATGGCACCAACAAACATACGATGTGGCATGAAGTCTAGAAGTGTTACGAAAATTGAGAGATATAAAACTAACGGAAAAATTTCAGATTAACTGAAAGAGAGAAGAGAAAGGGATTTCTTATATTAATAAATGTTGATATTAAAGCTACATCGAATGAGATGAAAACCCTCTGTATTTACGCGTTTTTGCACTGTTTATTTGTCAGAGAAAAGGTGGACAGCCACCAATTCTGACTTTTATAACACTCTTACTTAGATGTTAATGCATGTCTGACTGAAATTTTATTTTAAGTGTTTAAAGTTCCGTTTATTTTACTGATTTGAGTTTAGAATTTGAGTTGAGATGTGATTTTATGTGAGAGTTTTTTACTGTAATAAAAAAGTTAGATGTAATTATTTGTGAGAACTTTTTACTGTAAAAAAACTCGAATTTTAAACTTGAATCAGTGAAGTGAAGAGGCCAAAGTGTTTTAACGTGTCGTGATTGGTGTATAAAACAAACTCACGATGGAAAAGGTAATGACGCCGGTGCTTGATGGCTTGAACCACCGCGTAGAACTCAACATCATAAGTGCTATAACGGGAGCGAGCACCGGAAAGCTTCTCGCTAAAATACGCTACTGGGCAGCCTTGTTGACTCAGAACGGCACCGATGATGACCTTCGAAGCATTGCTATGTAGCTCTAACGTAACAGAGAAGTCAGGTAGCACAAGGATTGGGGTGGAGGTGAGCTTTTTCTTGACCAAATCAAATGCCATAGTGGCCTCCGGTGTCTAGACAAACTTACCATCCCGAATGGTGTCAGTGATCGGCGCGACAATGTGGCTAAAGTGTGCGATAAAGCGGTGATAAAACGATGCGAGGCCATGAAAGCTCTGAACTGCCGTGATGGTTGTAGGAATTGGCCAGGACCGAATAGCCTCTACCTTGGACTGGTCGTCAACAAGGCCATCCCGGGAGACCACATAACCAAGAAAAAGAACCCGATCAGAGGCAAACTCACACTTCTTGAGAGCCGCATAAAATTGATCACGTCGCATGATCGTAAGAATGGCATGCAGATGATGAATATGTTCCTCCATGGTAGTACTGAAGATAAGAATATCATCAAAATAAACGACAGCAAATTTACCTATGAAAGGACGCAGAGCCTGGTTCATGACTCGCATGAACGTGCTAGGGGCGTTGGATAACCCAAAAGGCATAACAAGCCACTCGAAAAGACCCTCTCGAGTTTTAAATGATGTTTTCCACTTATCGCCTGGTCGAATACGGATCTGATGATATCCACTCTTAAGATCCAGCTTCGTAAAAATAGTAGCGCCGCTAATCTGATCAAGCAAATCATCCAGGCGTGGAATGAGAAAACGGTAACGAACTGTGATCTTATTAATGGCGCGGCTGTCAATACACATACGCCACGAACCGTCCTTTTTTGGAATCAGTAATGCTGGAACTACACATGGACTGAGGCTCTCACGCAAATAACCCTTCACGACTAAGTCTTCAACCTCACAACGAAGTTCTTCATGTTCACTCGGGCTCATCCGATAGTGAGGCTTATTTGACAAAGTAGCCCCGGGAACGAGATCAATCTAATGCTGAATGTCGCACAATGGTGGTAAACCCTGTGGTAGTTCATCCGGAAACACGTCAGAAAATTCCTGAAGAAGGGGCTGAATTTCAGCCGGCATTGGTGAGCTGGGGTTCGAGGTGGTCGATGGTGCATGGGCCGAAGTAGGGGAGACGGGCGACTTGCCCGAGCGCGAGACGAGCGCATAGCATACACCGGCATCATGTATCTCAGATTCAAATCTCGATCTAGATAAGAACATGGCCGGCTTTGATGGCGGAGGTGGACTAGGAGCGGCACAGGCCAAATCTTTCGATGGTAACAGTGTGATCTTGCGATTTTCAAAGTAAAAACTATAAGTGTTTGTTTTACCATTATGAAGAACATTCCGATCAAATTGCCAAGGTTGGCCAAGCAGAATATGACAGGCATCCATAGGTACGATATCACAATAGATGTCATCCTTGTACGTAGAACCGATAGATAAAGAAACAAAAGCACGGCGGGATACCTTAATGTCGGAACCTTGCTTCAGCCAAGCAAGTTTGTAAGGGCATGGGTGTGGCTCAGATTGCAAGGCAAGCTTACGGACGGCGTCGGAAACCACATTCTCACAGCTGCCCGAATCGATAATAAAGTGGCAAACTTTGTCGTTCACTGTGCAGGTGGAGTGAAAGAGATTCGTTCGCAGCCAGAAATCGTCCGACAGTTTCGGAGAAAAACACGAGCGACGCAAGACTAAGAGAAGGCCAGTGTCACTAGAGACTGCTTCCTCAAAAATGTCCGAGGAAGGGTCATGGACATCATCAGTGGAGTCAATGAGAGCATCAGAACACTCCACATCAGTACCATCAGCCAGTAAGGTACGCTTTCCCAATCTAGGGCAGGCTGTCTGACGGTGACCGGGTTCGCCGCACGAGAAGCAGCGTAGGGCGCCGGGCGGGAGGGTCGGCCAGATGCTGGAAGTTTAGGTTAAACCGCTAGGCGTTGCTGCGGGGGCGCCGTCGTAGGGGACGAGAATCGGTGGAGGCCGCTGTAGCAGGGGGCGATTCGGCCTGAGGGGCTCTGGAAGAGGATGGCAGTGAAGACCAAGATAATGATCCAGAATGAGACTGGCGCTCAGTCAACAAAGCACGTTGGTGTGCTTCCGACATGATTAGAGGATCAAATAAATTTAGAATATTTTGAAATTGCAACCGTAAGCCTCCAATAAAGCGGGGAACCAACTGTGCATCAAATTCGGTAATCTCATTCCGGGTAAGCAAGAGAAAAAATTCCGAAGCATACTCATCTACCGTATGGAGACCTTGCCGCAAATTCTGAAGCCGTTGGTACATGGTTCTCTCATAATTGTACGGCAAGAAAGCACGTCGCATGTGCTTCTTCAGTTTATCTCACGAGTCAATCTTTGGTTTGCCGGCCCTAGCACGAGAAGTCTTTAGTTGTTGCCACCAGGCCGCGGCACGGCCGCGGAAACGGATTGCAACAAGCGGTGCGCGCCTGTGGTCGGGGACCTCTTTGAATTCCAAAACTTCTTCCACGGCGCCAATCCAATCCAACAGTTCATCGGCTTGGAGGCTGCCATGAAACTCAGGAATCTCGAGCTTGAAAGCTTGTTCCCAGCGAGTGTCGGCGGCGGCGTGCTCCGGGTGAGGGGCGATCGGAGGAGCGGCACGGTGGTTGTTGGCGGGTTGAAGGGGGGCGAACGGGTTGCCGGCGAAGGCATCCTCATCATCCGACAGGAGTCCATCAGGAGGAGCAGGGGCCGGATTGGCGGGATTGGCCGGGGGAACGAGGTGAATTTGGATGGCAGTGAGGGCTTGGGTGATGGCTTTCATCTGTCGAGTAAGGGCAGCAAGAGCATCGCCATAGTCGGGGACGTCGACTCGTCGACGGGGTGGCATGACGGCAGATGAGTGCTGGATACCAAACTGATGCAGCGTAACGTGCGGACGAAAGAAAATAAAAGAAGAAGACACCCAAAGTTCACGTTGATCGCAAGATACCGGGAACGCCGATGACTTCTCAACTTGACTTCGTTGATTCTCAAGAAGGAATACCGAAACAAGGACTTGGGAGAGGAAACTCTCTGTTGATATTTTATTCATGCAAAAACTAACGAAAAGTACAACTATAATAGAGATATATAGTTCCCTAGAAAGCAGTTAAATTTTAAAGTATTCCTAAGAAATAGGAAAGAAAAAAAAAGAAACAAATCTAAAACTTTAAAACTGAATGCAGGAATAGCAAACAAAATCCAAAAAAAAGATGTTCAAATTATAAACTAGTTATTCGGTTAAAACCGAATCTTCTGGGCCATCAGATGTCCACCTCTCATGAAGTCTAGAAGTACTTTTAACTTTCAACAAAACCACCGCTGTCAGAGTTTGGATAGGGAGGAACAGGAATATTAACAGTCCCTTCGAACATGGCCACAACGTTCTTCATTGTAGGACGTACTATTGGCTCTTCTTGGATGCACCAAAGACCAATCCTTAGCATCCTTTCCAATTCTTGTGCATCTACTTCCTCATCTTGAACAAGATTTCTCACTTCATTTCTCTTGAAACACTCATGGACCCAGTCCACGAGAATGGCTTCTCTATCTGGAAGATTTATATCCACACTTCGGCGACAACAAATGATTACCAAGAGCACAATTCCAAAGCTATACACATCGGCCTTTGCTGTTATAGGCAGGTTCTTGTGCCACTCTGGAGCTACAAATCCCCTCGTTCCTCTAATCCCAGTTATCGTCCTTGTTTGATCAGGCATGAGAAGCTTTGCCAACCCAAAATCCGCAATTTTAGGAGAATGGTTTTCATCAATCAGTATGTTATTGGGATTTATGTCGCAGTGAAGGATCTGATGCTCGCAATCTTCATGAAGATATAAGATGCCTTTAGCAATCCCAAAAGCTATTCCAACTCTTTGATCCCAGTTTGGCTTTACCTGGGATTTAAAGAGAAAGTCTGCCAATGATCCATTGCTCATGTAGTCATACACTAAAAGCCTGTTTGTTCCTTCATGACAGTAACCAAGCAAACGAAGCAGGTTTCTGTGGTGAGTTTTGCCTATGGATCTCATTTCATTTTGGAATTCAACCTCTCCTTCAGTTGCAACTTTCTCTAGTCTTTTGACAGCAATTGCTTTCTGTCCATTTGGCAAAGTTCCTTTGAAGACAGTCCCGAAAGCACCCCTACCCAACTGTTCGTTGAAGCCGTTGGTTGCAAGTTGGAGCTCCTTGAAAGTAAATGATCGCAGAGTTGGAATTTCCTCAGCCATCAGTGTGCGTGTGCTCGAAACCATTTGGCAAGGTGAGAAATAGCTTCTACGAACAAGAAACACACAAAGTAATATCATAATTGCAGCAAAACACGTACTTCCAAGACCAAGTAAGATATTAGTTAGCCGGCGGCCTCTATGAGAAATGATGCTTTGCTTATCTGTGCTTGCAAGACTTCCATTGCACACTTTTATTAAGGTCGTCGCAACGCCATTTTCTGGAGGACGTTTTGCGTAATTTACGGGAGAGTTTAGTTTGTTGCACTGCTGGTTCCAAAACAAGGCAACCTGGCAACTGGAGTCCCTCAAGCACTCCTCTTTGCAAGCATTCTTGCTCATCGCTGACACCATCGAATACGAATTGTTTTCCCAGATAAATCCATCCAACTCTGCAACAGAAGGTGTGTTCTGATTCTTACTTGTGCAAGATGTGCTTAAATTTCTCTTGCAGCCTGAACTTCCCTGGCGCTGATCGATGAGATCAAAACCAGGAAGACATTTACAATTAGGTTCTTCATCCTCGCCAAGAACGCAATAGGAATTCAAGCCGCAAAGTCCAAGAGGAGTGCACTTATTTTCGACGGAATACCACTCGACAACCCAGCTGCTGTTCTGAACCAAACTATGAGAATACAACCGTAATATTCCATCTACGTCGAGAGTCAGACGATACACAACATTGTCAGTGAGATTGTTCCCACCGGCAAAAATTGTTTTTACATTGACCCGAGTGGAATTGAGCAGATATACCTCGCCTTTAATATCGAGATTCAGGCTTACTCCTTTGTTGCCATACGTATCCGATGCCCAATAAGAGTAATACTTATCGTTGTTATTGGCAGGATAGTCTGCTGGATACTGCACCAAATTCCCATCACCCTGCATTCTGAGCTTAAATCTTCCAGTGGAGTGATTGCTCTCCGACACACTCGAAAAAAGCATGTGTCGAGCCATCAGAGGTTGTCCCGGCAAAAGGGTATCTGTTTGTGAATCAAAACTCTTCCATATGATTCTGGAATCTGAGTCGTAGAGAACAAAATTGCCCGAATCGAGCATGGAAGCTGAGGCCGCAGGCTGAGAGGCATCAGAAGAAATGGTTAACTGTTTACCTTGTTTACTTTGCACAACGAGCCTTCCATCATCACTCAAAAGCAATATAACATCTCGCGGCAGAGGCGAGTCATCCCGGTTTGCGGTCCAAACAACTGTTTTCTCCTTTGTTCTCTCAAACCAGATTCCAACTGCAAAACCATTGCCTTGTTGGTAAAACCCAAATGCAAACTGCCCAGAATTTGATAACCAATACGATTTATTGGTGCCAGGAGAGAGAGAGGAGCCTAGGCTGACAGAGGAATCATTCTTTTGAGCAATTATGGTTGAAAATTGAATAATCAGAAGAAAGAAAAAAAGCATTGTGGCCACACTCATTTCTACCATATGGTTTGCAGACAAACAGATTCCCCAAAGTTTCAAAATATCAAGACTGATATGAGGTTCTAAGCTCTAGCGAAGAAAGTTTTCAGTTCAAAAAGTCAATATTCTAAAGTCGTTGTTTCAAATTGAGTATTTGATTGAACGGAAAATATTGTATTGAAAATTCAAAAATTTCTTGCGTACCATTTGGTTCAACTACCTAAATCTTTATTTTTTCTATTTTTTGTTATTTTTATTTCAATTTATTTTTTTACTGCGTAAATATAAGGGTGAATTTTCTCAACATAAAAAAGTTACAGTTCATCATCTTTATGCTGATCCATTGGAGTCTTTGAAGAAAAAGTCATACCTTTGAAGGAGAACCGGTCCATTTAGCTTTTTTTTAATTGAAAAGTAGGTTTTATGGAACATGAGTTTAATCATGAGAACTTATGAAGGATTCAGGACGAAAACAAAAAATTCTGCCTTAAAATCATATTTTATTTAAACCTTATGTAGGCCTTCTCCACATGTTTTTTTCCAACTTTGTTTTCTCAAACCTGTTTCACACTGCAAAATCATTGTCTTTTGTGGAACACGCATGGAAACTGAAAAAAAAAAAAAAAAAAAACCCATTATATCCAACAAGTTATTGAAACTGTGGGTGAGAGAGGATCAAGAGCATTACCAACATTCTAAAGTCCTTATTTTGATAAAGTCTTCCCCAAGCGACGGCTGCTTTTTAGATGGTTAGTTGATAATAGTTTGGTCAATTATAGCCTGAAGAATTTCACCAAGTTCTTCACCTGAACCCAACAGAGGGATGACATAAAGCATAAAATATTGTACTAGATAAACATTTAACATTTATAATTTACTTTGAAGTTTGGTTGGAACGAGTCAATTGCAGGCCTGAATTCTACAAGGTCAGATTTATAAATATCCAGTCAGAAACACTCTCTACTTCTTACAATTACTAGTTTAGTTTGCAATAGACTTTTAAAATCAATAATATTTTAGTGATAAAAAATTCTGAAATTTGAATAGCAGCAGTGTGTTCCTTTTTTTTGGGTATGAGTTGCGTAGTTTCTATCCAGTAGCTCTAATGTATGTAATTGCAAACTAGCAGTATTCTTGATGTAGGAGTATACTTGAACTTAGGGGTAGGCGTACGTGACTTAGGCCTCGAAAAGGTGCTAAGCCTGTTCATTAGGTTCTCCCACGGATTCGTAAAGGACTTATCTTAGATGCTACGGCATTGTTTTTCTTGTCTAGCTAAAGAATGGATAGTTTTTGTTCACAATGATATTATGTCCTGCATCATGTAAAAAGCAACGGTAACAACTCAATAAGATTAATCCATTAAGATTAAATGAGTTTGTGAAGTATAATGCAACTTTATACAAACTAATGTTTAGTTGGTATTTAGGATATATAATCAAATATTAAGTATAACAAGGCAACCAACCGCAGGAACTTTAGGAGCTAAATTACAAATTGAACTTTTGGACTTGAGCATGTTTACATTCTCTCCCTTTTCTTTCTGAGTAATTAGAAAATAATCTTTCCAGTAATCTCTGTTGAAATAGGCAGAAGCTAGTTATAGAATTTACTACAGATGGAAAGCAATCTCCACTAAAAAAGAGTTAATACAGATCTATCTTAAATATTTGCTTCTTACATCACATAATATTTAAAATGAATCACCTGTAGGAAGATTTGTTGGTAACTAAGCAAATCAGAAAGAAGATGATTATTGACATGTGATTATGTGAGTTATTCATTTTTTAGCAATTTTTTTTTTACCAATATTCAAATAAATTATAGCCTTGTATATATTTTATTTACTTGGGTTTCCTTCATATTTTTATTTGTTTCTTTACTAAAAGAAAGGGGATTTCGAATGTACGGGCTTAGACAAAAAACAACCCCTCATTGGAAAATAGTGCAAGTTATGTTATTTTTCTTTTATATTTGTATTAAAATCTCACATTGACTGGAGATATTGACATGATCCACTTAATAAGTTGAAGACAATCCTCCCCTAACAAGCCAGTTTTGTTAGGTTGAGTTATGCCCAATGTCCTTCGATTTTTGTAAAATGGTATCAGAGCAGGCCCAGTTTTGCAATGTTGGGTCCCCCAATATTGACTTATTTACAACGATTTGGCATGGTCCACGCTGTGCGTGAGGGGGCGTATTAGAATCTCACATTGGCTGGAGATATTAGCATGATCCACGTAATAAGGTGAGGGCAATCCTCCCCTAACAAGCTGGTTTTGTCAGGTTGAATTAGGCTCAATATCCTTTGATTTCTGTAAAAATTTGTTATTCTTATTTTCAAATATATTAAAATAATGTCTTTAAGTGTTTTGAATATATTATCACTCTCTCCACATGTAACTATGGTGTCCTATATAACCTTCAAATATTGAATGTGGCTTTTATGTTACGCGATACATGAGGGGAATTATTGGAGAGAAAATGCAAGCTATAAGTCTTAAGGTAATCGAGCTTGATATATATAACCAAAGGCAATTTTATATTACTTTCGTTTTGAAATGATGCTCTCAAAATTACTGTATCAACTTTTTTTTAAAAAGTTTAATAGGAAGGATTCATGTACAGATTTCAAGATTTATGAGATCTGTTGTGCCAACATCAAATTAAACAGATTTAGGATAAAATATAAATAATAAACAAAATTCAAGAGACACAAGGATTTTACGTAGTTCGGCTTTTGATCTACGTCAACAGACAAAAACATCGAAGAAATTCTACTATAACCAAAAGGAGATCACAAAAAAAAACCTGTTAAATATATCTCACCACTCAAATCTCAATACACTTAAAATCTCTTAACCAAAAAATAAGAACACTAAATAGAATTAATTATCTGAGCAAATCTCACTAAAAAAAATAGAGAGCTGTTTATCAACAGTAACAACAAAAACACTCATGCGACTGCTATTCTTCATGCTCGGCTCTGATATATATAGCATATATAATGCTTCTCCAAGTCATAGTCGACGATAGGAGTGTAAGAATTTAGGTCAAACCCGACTAACCCGTCCGACCCTACCCAAATTTTGTGTGTGTGTGTTTTTTTATTTTTTGGATTCAAATATGCCCAACCCGCACATTGCAGGTGGGGCCGCGGGACGGGCTTCCTTTGGCTTGATACTCTCTGAACCGGCCGGGTGAGATCAATGGGGAAAAAATCCTAAATGCCATTGACTCAGTGATATCTCACTCTCACCTCTCTCTCTCTCACCATTCAGCATCTCTCCAAGTCCTCAGCCTCTCTCTCTCTCAATCTCTCTCGCTTCTAGGCTCGGCGTCCCTACTACCTCACCATTCTTACTCCTTCGCCGACTAAGCTGAGTAACTCGAGCCTACCGAAGGTCACCCAACGGGATATGAGTTTGTGGACTTAAAAGAATATTGCGGTCTAAAATTTTCTCAATACACACTGTGCGGCTCGGCCCAACCCGAACCTACCCGGCCGAATTACACCCATACGGTGACACCAAAACCTGACGCAATACAATTAATTATCTGAGCAAATCTCACTAAAAAAAATGAGGGGAAAGATATGGGCCTGGGGCCCAAACCAAAAACAAAGCTAATATGGGCTTAATTAAAGCCACAACCCAACAAGAGACGTGCAGAATGGGGAAAGTTTATAACAAATGGAGTGCAACTAATATAGTGATGATGTTTGTATTATTTTAGGGTGCGACGTAATTTTACATTATTTATTTGTATTTATGGATGTAATAGTAAATAGTTTAGGATTCTGTTCAGCAAAAAATAGTTTAGGATTCTGAAACTTTATTTTCACGTACAGTGATATATTTCTTGACTTGTCATAACACTTTGGTAAACTTTTACTGTGACTTAAGCTTAACTAATTAAAAAATTTAAAAAGGACTCTTATTTGTATATGAATCCCATATATTGTTGGATGAGATTCCTATATAATGCTAAAATTGCAATACAGGGGATAGAATATTATAGAAAGATGTTTATAAACAATATGAACATTGCTAATAACTTTCTTTTTAATTAGGTATTTTCCACTAAGATGATGTCGGTTCAACTGACTTCATATGTATACACTTTTAAAGTTTGCATAAATAATAAGTGTTTATGTTGACTAAAAGAAGACGGATAAACATCTGACTTCTATTCCTACTGACTTTGTGTCACTTGCATCAAAGTCAGTATGAGAACCGACTTTACAGATAAAAAAATTCGGATTTTACCCCACTTCTATTCGTAATTATTTATTAGTCTTTTTAAAAATATATATATATTTTCCTACGATATATATATATGTCTTTAATACTCCCACTGAAACCGAAGGCTGGGTCCCTCATTGGACACATCCCCACCCAAACCTTTGAATACAACCCGCTCAGTTTACTGCTATCTGTAAACTTTTCTCCTTAAACGAAAAAAATGAGTTTGGAGAGTCCAAAAAAAAAAAAGACTTTAAATTCCTTTTTATTTCCGCAATATAATTAGCTGGTTCTCACAAGGCGCATCGTCAGCCGTCTCATATGACGGATTGGTAGTAGAGTCATTTTGGTGTTGAATGGAAAATATAGATTTGTGTTCATATGAAGATGTTTGTAAGACTTTTCCAACTGTCTCAAGGACAGTTGAAAACACATGTAGTTTTGGTCTTAATTACATTGGGGCCATGAAATTTATGAAGTCGCGTGACAATTAAAACTATAAATAAAATAATAAGAAGATAGAAAAAAAGGAAGAAAGATGTGGAAAAGGTAGGCGTAGCTAGACAATTTATTGACATTTATAATATATATAATATATATATATATATATATATATAATATATGGTGAACTCTATCTTCATCATTGCTAACCTGTATTGTTTAAAAAGTCAAGAGTCAAGTTGGTCCCCTCCCTTACAATTCTTATATTTATGTGCATTATATATATATATATATATATATATGTGTGTGTGTGTGTGTGTGTGTATTTTCTTCTTTTTTGATATCTCCTTTTAAAAACCATGGGATGAGGAACATGTGTATTTAAAGGAAGGAAGACCTAATTACTATTTTTTGTTTTCTTTTCTTTTTTCCTCTAGTTGAGGAAGAGGATAGGAGTGCCCGTAGAAAACTGGTACCAAAAGGATCCACGTTGGAGAAGTTGGCTAAACAAACTCTTCAAGGTGATTAATTTAACCGTAGCATGACCTAAAAAGTATGGGCACATATATATAAAGATAGGACCATCTTGAGTTTTAATAAAATACTTATGTAGAATAAATAATATATATACATATATATATGTATATATATATATATATATATTCAACTACCACATCAGAATAAAAATCTGACTACTTGACCTCCTACACCTTAATTGTTAGACTGGCTTTTGTGGGACAGGGAACTAATTAACCTGCTTTATTTTTATTGTTTTCCCTGCCTTACCTAAACCGTAAACTAATCTACTAGCAACTACAAGAGAGATGTCTCCATAATATAAGACTGTTACCAACTGATACACAAGACATTATTAATAGTTTGTTAATTTTGGTTCTTCCACATGCTCCCCATTTTTTTGTTTGTTTTCGTTGTTACCATCATAAACCAAAAGTTTTTCCTTCATGTATAAGTCCAAATATTGGTTAGACAAAAGATTGATGAATTTTACTGCTCCAGTTTTGGTATGTGCTTTCTAAAACCTTAGCTGAAGAGGCTGCTTGGAAACTCACAAAATAAAATGGGATTGACTTGGTACCTATAAATCCAGGTTTTGTGATTGGTCATTTCTTACAGCCTACACTATTTTTTTTTTTTACCACTCCAAGATGAAACAAATAGAAGATACAAAGCAATTGAAATTCTAAAGGGGAACGTAGCAGAACATAAACAGCAATGGCAGGACCTCTAGAAAGCACATGAAAGATCCTACAGGGCATAGGGTAGAAGGATTTGAGCAGTAGCAATCACAGAAACAAAAAGATACAATGACATGGGCGTAGGATAGAAGGGGTTCTAGTTGCTAATTTCTGGACGTTTACTTACAAAACTACTTTACTTTGCAATACAGCCAAGTAACAACATATCCTAACAGCCTCTACCGATTCAACTTCAGCAGTTACCAAACTAGTGTTAGCAACTCCGTCGGCAAAGTTTGTACCGAAATGAAGGAAATCAAGGAAAAAGATTGTATCCAGATGTACTCGTCACAGGACATGGCTATAAATGAACATCAACAAGAAAGAATAGAAATGAACTTTAAGGCAATTTTTCCTACATCAAAGTCCGATTCAGTAGACAAAGAAAATTTTGAAACCCAGTGGAACTGTGGTATATATTCTACAAATTCCATTTCCACAAAAGGCCATAAATTCTACTAACAGTAACTATAGAACCCAAACAGTCATTGACAAAAACCCCAATCCCCAATTTCATTGCTAGAAACCAAACATGCAAATCAACCGCAAAATAACATGATCTGATGATATTACCATGAAAAAAATTAGAATAATGTGAGGAACACGTACCGGTAAAGCATTCGAGTATGAGGAAGAGATTAAAGTCACTGCCGGCAATAAAGCAAATGCGGATGAAGGTTTTTTGTACTTCTCCGATGAGCGTCATTTTGCTATAAACAGCATCAAGCATGTCTTTAATGTAAGCTGGACGTCTAGAAATTTGACCAGAAGCTCACCATACGTATACGCTATCTTCAAATTGGACAAGGAAAACAATTTTTTCATGTATTTATTTGGCTATTAGATGATATAATAGAAACGACATTATTTTCTTGCTTATGTTTATTAAAATTAAGACTAATAATGTTATAAATATAATCACTAAAATATCTTTTTACACAATTAAATAATCATTGATTATATAATAATTCAATAAAAATATATAAGTAAATTTAACATTTATTCTCTTAACAAATAATCAATATTAAAAGGTGTAAGAATTGGTACTCATTATCTATATTATGTGGGGCCCACTAAATTTTTATTACTAATTTTATAAATAAATACAATATTAAATTTTCCTTTCCCACACTGTTATGGATTAGTCAGTCACATAATTTGTTGATTTTATTAAAACTAGACGTTTAACTTGAATTTTCAAAGTTAGAAACTTATAAAGTGACGAATGAAGAAAGAATTTTTGTGTCCTATCATATCATGATTGATATTTGTGTCCTAAATACTTATATATACACCAAAGAATTTTCTTTGATTTTGTTGTAAGAGGATCTACAATATAGCGCTAGACTAAACGTGCCAATATCAAATTCGTACATTTAAATAGTTCTCTATTTTTGACTAATTTAACATTTCATATGTTTTATGTCAAATTTGACATAAAATATAACGATGTTAAATTTTACAGTCTGATTTATTAGCAGTTGTATCTACTTTTTTTTTCTCATATTATTATCATACAAATTAAAATTGTTTTACAAATTTCAAAGCTTAAAATGGTCCAACACAAACCTAAAAAAAAAAAAAAAAAAAAAAGGTCCAAAACAACAGTTGCGCTGAAATCATGATTGGACTTAAATAGTTTTTGGCTAATCAGATTGGACTTAATAGTCGATCACTGGTGGCTGACTCAGAAGTCGGTCTGAGTTAGAAATTAGAAAATTCAAAGTTTGTCATTTTTCTTTAGAATTGTTTTTTTTTTTCTTTTCTTTTCTTTTGAATACAGCGTTAAACCATTGTACAAGTTTGAAAATCTTCAGCGTTTACACACGTAAGCACACACACGGGGATTTCAGTTGATTAATCTTAATTCACTATTTTAAAAAACTGGGTCCCACGTTTGACCAACGACCATTATTTCTTTCTGCACCGGTTGAAACGAGATCGCCTTTTGTCTCTCTCTTGAACCCATCCTTCCTTTGTTTTCTATCTTATCGTCTTCTTATAGTTCTATTATTCCTCCTCTCAAAACTGAAGAACTCTCTCTCTCTCTCTCTCTCTCTCTCTCTCTAACTTGGTGTTACTGTAGGGGAATGGTGAGGGAAGAACTGTACATAACCGTACCGAACCTGTTCAGATGTCCGATATCAATGGACGTGATGAGGTCTCCGGTAAGCCTGTGCACCGGCGTCACATACGATCGCTCCAGCATCCAGCACTGGCTCGACTCAGGTCACGACACGTGTCCCGCCACAATGCAAACTCTCCCTTCCAAGGACTTCGTCCCCAACCTCACTCTCCGCCGTCTGATCAACCTCTGGGCCCAATCGCACGGCCCTCCTTCGCCCTCTTCCTCCTCTTCCTCTCTCACCGTCTCCGAGCAACAGCTCAAGTATGTGATTGACGAATTGAAGGGAAAGAACGAGGGAGAAAACTCGAAGCTCATCGGAAATTTGTCTTCTATAGCCGATTTCGCGGGTTTCAGCGACGAGAATCGAAGAAGTTTGGCTGATTTCGACGGTTTTGTGTCCGCCATTGTCGGCGTTTTGAGCAGAGGAGGCGCGAAAATGGAGATTTTAGAATTGGTAATTAGGATTCTGGATTCCATTTTGCTCGATGATCGAGGCAGAGAACAAGCACACGTGTTAATTTCGAAGCGAATCCAGGCTTTCTTGACTTCCATTCGTCTGGTACTTCGAAACGCAAGCCTGAAAGCGAAGATCGAATCGGCTAGGGTTTTGAGATCGATCGCGAACGACGAACAGTCCAAACGCGCTATCTCGGACAACAGAGATCTCGTCCTCGAACTCCTCAACCTCCTCACCTCCGAATCCGACTACGACCAGGCCTTGCATGACGCCGTTTACTCCTGCCTAATTGCGATCTCCGCGACTCGTTCGAAGAAAGCGCAACTCGTCGGATTAGGAATCGTGAATCTCCTAGCCAGAACGCTGTCGGATAGAAACACGAATAAATCGGTCGCCGAGAACGCGATGAAATTGCTCTCGATCGTGTCGACGTGCGCGGAGGGGAGGTCGGCCATAAGCGAGGATCGACGGTGCGCGGCGGCGGCGGTGGAGAGGCTGATGAAGGTGTCGACGGTGGCGACGGAGGATGCGGTGGCGGTGCTGTGGAGCGTGTGCTGCTTGCTTGGAGAGAAGAAGACGAAGGAGTCGGTGGTGAGGAGCAATGGCGTGGCGAGGATTCTGCTGGTGATGCAGAGCGGGTACTGCGAGGGGCATCCAGTGAGAAGAATGTGTGGGGATTTGCTTAGGGTTTTGAAGATTGGGTGTTCTTCGGATGGATTTGGGTTGGGAAGTTATCAGAGCAAAACTACTCACATCTTGCCTTGTTGATAAATGATTGGTCCATTCTTTTTGGGATTATTCTGGTTTTTTTTTTTTTCTTTTCTTTTTTAAGTGTGAATTTGGAGGGAACAAAAAGGAAAAGTGTTTTTGTATTTTGTATGAATCCATCTATGGTTTTGGCCAGAAAGTTATACTAGACAAGATGTGAAATTTTCTCTGTGCAAAGGAGGTGATTTGCCTAGCATTCCATTGAGTCCTTCCACAGTGTCTTCATGACATTCGTGTCTCTTTACAAATTTATCGTAAACTTAAACATGATTCTCAAGTATATTGCTCAAATGTACAATATTACATGCTAGTATATTCTTTTAAAATTTATAAATCTATCGTAACTTACACAACTATAATTTTAGAGGTTTGTAAATTTTGAAGTAAAATATGTAAATTATTGTATCTCCAATACTGTATTGAGAATTCTTCTCCCGACACCATAATAATTTCCGTTTACTTCATGGGATCAAATTTGGTCCCCGCGTGCGTTTAGTTGATAGATTCGTACTATAATTTGAATAATGATTCGTTGTTCGCTACAGTATTTTCTCTTATAAAAAAATACACATAAATTGAGAATGATTCTGAATCCATGAATCAAACGTCCACTAAGTGTTTTACATACTAATATTTAACTCGTTTATATCAAGCCCTAAAAACTAATTTTGTTCTTTGTTTGGAGGAAGAACCTCAGTTTTGACCTAAAATAGGCGAGACAAGTGCTTGATGGCTTGATTTGCCTATTCAAGAGAATGATTCACTCCGAGAGGGCTTGCTCATTGTATTTGGAAGTTGGCGGTCGTATCCACGTTTCCGAGGTTGAAGAAGCCGCCCCAGGACAAGCTATCACTTTAACCCCCACTATCGACAGACATGGACACTGTTGGCCCAAGAGTTTGTTATTATTGATTTTGATGATTACAAACACATAATTGTGAGATTACTAACCCATTAAAGTTAGTATACTTAAGTAAATTATTATAAATTATCAACAACTTGTAAAGATTGAGAAAGGAAGAAGATTGATGTTTAATGTAATTGAATTATGTGAAGATGGAATAAAGCTTGAAGTTATGCCGATCATGCAAGACTACTCAATTATAGGTTTATGATCTTTTAGTCTTGGATTGAATGCACGAATATTCTATCAAAATTTGTTTCATTGCTAAAGACTCTTGAACAGACACTTTAGACTTTTGTGTTTTCACAAAATTGCACGATGGTTTTAAAAATGATTTTCGATATGAAAAATTGATTTAATCTTAAGTTGTTTCTAAAATAAATCGTTTTAAGTATATCTTTGAGAAATGTAGAGAAAAAGTTGTGCTAGAGTCATCTGGCAATCCAGCCGATTACTTCGATAATCCTCTGGGTTACCTGACGTCCGGAGAAGGCATGCTTCCTATCTTCGTCTGGTTGATCGGATGTAGTCCACCAGTTGACCGGTACTGCTCAAACAATCATGGGCTTGTTCGGTTGCATTTTTGAGTTATGATAAAAGTTGAATTTGAGTTATAATTTGACTTGAAGTTGTAACTTGAGTTTGTGTTTGAGTGGGTCAAAACTTGAATTTGTATTTAAATAATTTTTTAATAAAAATTCAATGGTGATGAAAAGTTTTAATAAGGTATATGGGTGGGTTTTTATTCGTCTATTCATTGTGAATGCATAGAAAAAAATCATCTCAATCGGAATTAAAACGAAAAAATTATGATGTTTTTAAGAATAGAAAAAATATTGTTTATTAACTTGAGTTTGAGTTTAAGAACTTGAGTTGAAAGGGAAACTTGAACTCAAAGTTTAGCCCCAAACTCAAGTTAAAACTCAAATTTTACAAACGAGCATGAACCTTACAGAAAAATTTTGCCTCTTTCTCCTATTTTAGACTATTTTCATGTCTAAAAATGGCTAGAAACTATTGCTAGAGCTCCCAACTTGACTATAATCCAAAACATACTCTGAAGCTTACATAAGCATTGGGTTTTCATAGATTTTGCTTTGATTTCATACATACTTTTGAGCCTACCTTGTTTCCTTCTTTGATAAATTTGTCTCAGACCCATTCATTCTATGAAAGAGCTGAGTGTTCTAAGTAACTTTTGAAAAACTAAAATCCTCACGTGTATTGGTTTCCAAATCTTGTAATTTGCGTGTTGATTGTTTTGATAATTTCCGTGTAATGGTCAGCAGCTGTAGGCGTTTTGTTGACATTATTTTTGCCCTAAGTAAATATTTTTTATATAATTTTTTTCCCTTAGATCACCCCCCGAATCTTTCCATTCATGACATTTACATGAAATTTTAAAAACGTTTCAATTATACATAAAAATTTAACTTCTGAATATCTCATATGTCGAACTTAAATTTCTACATAAATCAATAATCAACGATACTACTACATACGTTTACAATTATAAATTTTAAACCTTGAAAATTGAATTAAACTTACTTAGAAGATTTATTCATTTAGATTAAAAATAAATAAAAATAATAAAAAAAATAATTATACTATTATTTTAGTTTAAAACTTTAATTTCACCCACATCGTCACTGATATAGATTTTTAACTCGCTCACCAGGTGCAACGGGTACATGTAAAAATTTAGCTACATGTTTGACACAAGTGAACTATTACGGCCCCGTTCATTTCGCCGATTTGAGTTTTGTTACAGTAAAAAGCTCTTAGAAATAATTACATTTAACTTTTTTGCTACAGTAAAAAGTTCTCACA